CAATCTTTTTTTTTTTTTTAATCTAGATGCCTTGCGAACTCGGGTCTTCTCTTGGCAGTGACTCCCGGACGCCCCTCTCTATGTCCGTATTCGCGTCGACCGGCTTATGGAGGACCTCGAAGAACCCCTCGTGTTTACTTTGCGGAGGTGGAGTCGCTGCCGTTACGATGATCACGTCGGCCAACTCGCTTTTACCGCCCGCACTGAAAAAAAAAATAGAACCCGTGATTAGGACTTCCACCAGAACGTAGCCAAGCATCAACTACAGCATCTATGGACTTCCACCAGAACGTAGTCAAGCATCAACTACAGCATCTGTGGACTTAAACGATGACCACAAAACTAGATATTCACCTGTGTCTCCAAGAACGCAGCCAGGATTCGGAGGGCGCCCTGACAAGGCACCAGACGAGGGCAATGGCGAGCAACAGGAGGCCGACCATCGTGTACAGAAACAGCAGCAGAGGCCAGCGAGCTTCCTGTCCAAGCGTGACCCTCATGTTCAGCGAGTCTACAGGCCCTTCCTCCATGGGAGAGAAGTGCTGGGGCTTCGGGGCCACGGTGAACATTATGCCACGTCGATCGGGAACAACAGCGACGAAAATGAACAAACGCTGACCACTCTATGCGTCGAGGGGGAGAAAGACCTTGGCCAACGCCTGCTGAAGGAGCTGAAGCAGCAGCTTAAGCCTCCAGCATCCAGGCTCGAAGGGCAAGAGCGGCCATCAATGTAAACAAACAAAGCAGCTGTAATACCCATGTATTGCGCTCGGACCGAGGACTGGACTGAGCTGGCTGTGGAAAAGGACGTATTTAAAGGTCCGATGAGAATGAGGTCAAACAGCAGACTGATTTTCACAAGGAACAAGGGTATTTAGATGCGGCCTCGATACCTCATTAGGGAGACATGTGCATGAATATATTATTAAGGTAACGGTAATTCTTACTACCACAGTTAAATTGCTAAATGCTTATTACATTAATCCTCCCTATCAATTTGCACCGCAGATAATGATGATGCTGACATTGGCACTGATGATTAAGAAAGAAAATGCTAATCATGAAGATAACGATAACTACAATAAAAAAATGAATAGTCAAAATAATCGTGTTTATCGTTATATTATTTCCATTTTTAGGGATACCATTTTCATATATTTCTACTATTTCCATCGTCATCATTAGAATATAATAATTTTTTCATAGAGTTGTGTTCATGCTTTCAATAATCATCCTTGACCATATTCATTATTACGATTATTATCATTATTGGTTTGTTTAATGATCATTACTATCATTGTTATTGTTATCATCATTAA